AGCAGTATCGATTTTTGTAGGCCATATGAAGGGCAAAATTACGGGTAAACGCAAACCCGGTAAGCACAAAATGTCTTGGCTACAAAACATACGAGAATGGACGGAGGTCGAGTCGATGTTATTTATTGCTAATATAAACAATTGTTTTTGTTTTTTTGAGATAGACTAATAGTGATAGTAATTGCTAAGCCAAGAAGAAAATAGTTTATGGATAGATTTCTACAGCTAATTAAAAATCTTTTCGTTTTCGATTCAATTCTCGTCTGAACGACTGTTATAATTGTATAAGTTCAATCACCTATAACGGAAGAAATTCACCAAAAAACAGCACAATCTTTTATCAATTTTGCGGAAATTAACACGAAACGAGCCTCTGTGAAATAGACATTAAGAAATTATAATTTAGAAAAAATTTAATTGTTTTTATACAGTTCTAAGAACAATTAGTGAGGAAGTAATAAATAAAGTGTGGGAGTGTCTTGATTCTTGGATGTGCGCTTTGAACGCTCATTAACACGAGGAAGAGATCTGACAATGCGATGACATCCAGAATGATGGCCGAGTAACATTCAATGTCGTGGTCGATGTATGAAAAATACGTTATATATAAATTAAAGAATGTGGTATAGTTTTTACGTATACATATTATATTATTTTGCGTAATATTTGCAGTTTCAGGGATTCTAAAAATAAGTAAAAAAAATCAAATTAAATATAAATTTATATTCTGTATCATTTATATCTGCGTCTGTTTCAATCGTGATATTTTTCGAGAACGAAAAGATTTTTGCTTCATTGGGAATCAACCCAGGATTGCTGTTACATCACTTCTCAAAAATAGCGTTAAATGATAACTACACCACAGTAAAGTCTTATCATTTTTTACATATAAAATAGCATATCAATATCACTCGGAAAATTATAACAAAGAAGTTACTCAAAGTAATTTTCATCATTCAGACAGAGCTCTGAATGTGGGCTACAAAAGCTATTAATATAGATGCAAGTTATAAACGACATTTTACTATTATCTTCTAAACCCACACGGCACACCGCAACACACTTTCTTATGTAGAAAGAAACATCCACCCACGAGTATCGACACGAATCGCGGGTTTCAAAATTTCAAGCTGTCATTTCCGAGTCATTGCGCAATTTTAAATATCGATTACGTAGGTTATGCAGTTCTACAATGACAGAGTATACGCGTATGTTTTAAATATTCTTAGGAAATTTGTATGGCAACGTTATTAAACGAATTATGTAAAGAATGTTATGCGCGTAAACAGCGCTTAAGGTTTTCATCCAAATGTCGTAAATTTATAACGTTTATATACAGACTGCATTCTGTATATAAACTTTAAAAAAGCTCATTTAAATAAAGAATATAATGCAACAATTACGACTTGTAATTAAGATATTGAACTCGGACGTTATTTAAGAATATTAGCGCATCTATATGTATATATAAAAATGGTTCGCTAAATTCGAGAATGGCTGAGTCTATGTGGCTAATTATTAACTTTAAATATTTGTAGAAATAAAGAAGAATACTAATAACGACAATTGAAATTTCCAATAAAAACTGTTCGAAGTTGGGAAATATCTTTTGTCTTTTTAGAAAAAAAAATGTCAATTGTTTGTCATATATACATATTCAGTTCAACTATGAAGCTGCAGCATGAGGTGCGATCTCTTTCGTCTGTTTTAGAAATATTGTATTAATTTTTAATATATTAAATAATAATCCAGTGACGCTACAACCCCATATTGCTATGGTATGGACCGACACTTGTAATTTTTGGGATTGTGGACATGCCGGTTTCCTTACTTTGCGTTCACCGCAAGAGAACATAGAAATAAAATTCTTCTTATTTTTGAAGTTATACTTCTTTAGGCGCGTTATGAAAAATTTATGAGAGTGAAATTTTACAATGCGCGCGCACCCGTGACACAAAATTAGGAGTGTGATTATAGCGTGTGCGAGCGAGATAGGAATAAGACACTCTACAAGTAAAAAGAAATAGAATATGCGTGAAGTTCGTATGCCAACAATTTTGAATGACCATAATGACATTTGTCATTTACCTTTTAAACAAATAAAGGAGTTTTAATTATTTTTTCAAAGAAATTTAGCGATGCTTTTTGAATTATAATCAGAAGTGATTTAAATTGAATATTTAAACCAATACTAATTAATATTTGTGAAAAAACTGTGCTCATCAACCTTCCTAAGTGCTTCAATACAATTGAGGTTAACTATCCGTATGTATTATTATTATTATCGAGTAATGTTTTGATTAAAAAAATTAACCACATTGTTTAATCAAAACATGTAATTTTTCTGATTTTATCTAGCAAATATAAGGAAAAGAGACAAAAAACAATTGATGAATCAGTGTAACTGCACTAAATTGAATACAAAAAAGAGTTTTCATCTTATCGCTGTGAAACATCAAAAACTGGAGGTGGAACAAAGCCAAACTATTTTTAATATTGCCAAAGAAGTATAACTTCTTACGCGCGTACATAAGTACACGGACCCTTTTTTTTTTACTTGGGGAAATGCATTGCGCATACCCTACCGGGCCGCGGTGCGACTGCTTAGTGCGGGAGGGTTATGTGGGAGTCGCGATTGTGCACACCCACTAAAACCCCAAGGCGCCACCAACAATCGCCTTAGGCGGGATGCGGTAACAGCAGAGCCTTATCCGCTTACCGACATCGATGCGGCGGTTGCGTCCGCCTCTCCCCGCCCATTCTTGATTTGTGAAGATACTTGACACAGCAAGTATCCTTCACAGATCGGCCATATGCTTTTAGGAAACTAGGGGAGATCGGGTCGCCCAGTGTTTGCAGGGATGGATCACCATCCCTTAAGCCACGTTACGTTACGTTTAAGCCAAGACTATGTTTACATAGATAGAGAAAAAGTATAGCACGAAATATTGATTTAACAATGTTTGGAAATAAATCAATTCTATTTTTAATTACTCATGAATATTGATAACAGATTTAATTAGTGAATAATCACTGTAAATTTTCACGTTTTCAGTAAATGTCGTGAGCCGCAAATGAAATTCCGGGAACACGTGATCCGCTCTCTAATTGATTTCAAACGTAAAATGTTTCTGTATTTGTATCTTACCAAAGCTAACAAGCTTAAAGTTAGAACCAGAGTAATATTATTTTACTAAAGACCATAACACTTATTTCATTTTAGTATTTAGTCTTGTCTAGTCTAGTGTCTTATTTTCAGAAGTTTCTATTGACGTAGGACGCTTTCGAATGTACGAATTTAATATAAAAAATTAAGAGTTAGGATCTAGTCTATCTCTAAAAAAGCTCTAATCTTAATATATATAAATTACGCGTCACGTTGTTTGTCTGCTATGGACTCCTAAACTACTTAACCGATTTCAATCAAATTTGCACACTGTGTGCAGTTTGATCTAACTTAAAAGATAGGATAGCGTACATATATATATATATCTACTGTACGTGTGTATGTCACTGAACTCATCTTAAACGGCTGCACCGATTTGAATGTTTTTTTTTGTATGCGTTTGGGTGGAGCCCTGGATGGTTTTAGATTCATAATACAGCCTCTGTCTTACAACCATGCCTCCTGCTGCTAGAGGACAAATCTTTGTTTTCAATTTATTATTTATTACTTAAGATGTCATGTGGAACATGGTGTAATGGTTGCAGCTCCTTACAAATGTTGTGTAAAAAAAAACCTTGGCGATTAAAAAGAGTGGCGGAGAGTTTATTGCCAGTTCTTCTCTTCCGTTCTACGCCCTTGATTTGAGAACTGGCAGTAAATGTAAAATTAGAAGCATTTAATGTATATTTCTATTAATACCTATATGAATAAATAATTTTTGACTTTTGAACCGATTTGACGTCGATAAGTGTATGTTACCTATATGAATAAAGTTATTTTGAGTTTGACTTTATAACATTGTTAGGTTTGTAGGGTAGGTAACCAAGGAATGATCCCCTAGAGCCAGTAAGATTCCTGCTATTTGTATTCAAATGAATGCGAACCAAAATGGAAATGTCGGTCGGTCAATCAGATGCCACCCACATCGGTACGTTTATAAAATGGCATAGCATTTCCGTTGTACGTCAAACACTTCAGTGCATTAGCTTTTAACCTGCCCATTGATTCCTATTTGCAATTGTTTGAAAACATTCCTCTATCAAGTGTGAGCCAAGTATACTCAAACTTTAAAATATCTTTATTCATATAGGTAAACAAGTACACTTATGAACGTCAAAAAGGAAGTTAAATTAATTGTAAATTTACATTTACTACCAGTTCGCAAGTCAAGGGCGTAGAGCGGACAAGAGGACTGGCAAGAAACTTTCCGCATCGCTTTTTAATCGCTAAGTTTTAAGTCATATAAATTGTTTGAACCAGAGCAAATCAATCCCAAGTATTGGGACCATTTAAATATTCGTCAAATTTATGTATATAACGCAAAATTTCTTCTCGATTTATAAGCGTCGAAGTCGAGTGATTCTTATACACTTGTTTTAGTTACATTACGCCTATTACAACAAGACTACGTAAGTATAATAATACTATGCAAACATTAAGCAGGTACACATTGCTTACATAGTAATATATCTGGAATACCAATGCTCATTTTTTTTTTTTTTATATAATGAGGTAAACGGGCAGGCTTACCTGATGTTAAGTGATGCCGCCCATGGACACTCACATTGCCAGAAGGTTCGGAAGTGGGTTGCCGGCCTTTTAAAAATTGGTACGCTATGTTGAAGGACCCTAAATCGAATTGGTTCGGAAATACTTCAGAGGGCAGATGGATCCACATAGTATTGGATTGGAAAAACTGCTTTAAGAAACGCTCAGTTGTGGAACGACGGACGTCGAGGTGTTACGGATGGTATTTTGTCTTCTGTCTGTCTTATCAAAGCAAGCTAACTGAAACTCTTTGGAGACGTCCAGATGAGTAGAACATTACAAGAATTTAGCAATCTCTTAATGAGTTTCTCTTCTCCCATAGGATGAGATTCAGAACTAATAATTTAACACAGATATGTGTCTTTGCTGTGCTGTATGTCCCTCTAGACGTTCCACCAAACACATTTTGTATGCTAATAAAATTCATAGAAAAATATTTAAGCGATTTTTACCTTTCACTCTATATCCGACAAGTTTCCCACATTGATTCTTCAAAACTTCAATTTCACCATTAATGTTAAGTTCACTTGCAAATTTCTGCTGACTGAGCAGATTTTTACGACTCTTGCTATCCGATTGGAAAAACGACACGAACTTGTGTAAAGGACTCATTGTATATAAAAGATTTAATTAAAAACGTATGCCGTCATACTAATGAATTTTCTAACAATAAATTAATGAAGCTTTTAAATTATTTAGAAACTTTTTGTTCGGAGCACGTATTAAGAGCTATTTTTGATTAATTGGACCATTAATCATTTGAACCACAGTGCTCATGAGCCGAAAGCGCGGACAACAATGTCTTACTTTGACTATTACGCGTACTTTCCGCTACCGCAGCAAAAAACTTTCATTCGCTTAAACAAAAGAAGGTCGCCACCAGAGATTACTTTTGTATAGTTTGTATTGTTTTTCTATTCATTATCGTCTTAATAACTATTAAAACTAAAAGATATAATAGTCAGGATTTATTGGATAACATATGACGTAATTATTTTATTGGCTGGTGGTGAGGATTATTTATTATTATATACTAAGAATATCTTATTCAACTTTTTGACACGACGGGCCTAGTGAGTATTAGAGAATTAGTAAATTATTGCACGTTAGTCATAAGTGCTAAACGGTAGTAACTAATTGGAACACAAGAAAAGTGTTATTGGACACTTTCTTATGTTAAATATCCTTTTTGTACATAAGGTTAGACCTAAATTATTATTAGTATTAAGTTATTTAAGTAATGTTCTATGATGCCTTAATGAAGACATATGTATTAAAAAAAATACTCTTAGGAAATATGTTTTTTAAAAATTCAAAAGCTTCTACTTAAGTTAATATGTAATTAAATTCATAACAGTGTACAGTTTACAGTTAACTTTGAATAAAGCCCCAACCAATAATCGTAATTAAATAAATAATATTACGGAATGATCTGCGTTCTAAAGCTTAGTCTAATTCTCAGACGCCGCCGTCATAACTTTTCCCCGACATGAATACAATGATTATATAAACTCATATCTGATGTGGGTATCGTATTACGAGCGCCGAATTTAAATTAATTTCTCATCTTAATTGCCTTAAAGCGAATTAAGTATTGTTAATAATACACGCTGAGTAATATTTCTTGTAGACACATTGTTTGTTAATAGTTGCGTAGTGAGTTAAATTTCAGTGTACTTATTTAAATATTTTTAACACCGTTAGCGAAATAATTTTGCTGTTAAAATTTTGCCTCAAAGGCGTTAAATAGAGCGATAAGGAACTGTTGTACAGTACTTATATAATAAATTTAGACAAATATTTAAATACAGGAATGAAAACAGATTATAATTAGTTTAAGAAAAAGTTTCTTTAATGTTGCGTAAATATAATAAGAAAATATTGTGTTCAGCGACATCTATCGGACATACGCTGAACTAACATAACGATTCAATAATTTTCATTCGTTGAGATTCTAGTATTATCTAATAGATGGCAGCACGCGTTCACACAAGATTGTATATTATATGTTTTACAACGCTGGCTAAAATATTTCAGTAAAACAAACAGTTACATAAATAATTATATTTCTTCGTATTTTAAAGTTTTATTACGATATTAATAGATCGTTTTTGAACGTGAAATAAAATTAATGTCATAAATATTGATATTTTTCAACGATTTTATTCTTAATAATATTTTTACGCAAGTGGTTGCGAATATACTCTTAGAAATATTTTAAAATTTAGTTTAGACATATTAGTAAAAATTTAAGCAGTCTTAGCAGCAGTAGAATGATCTATCTTTCTTCTTCTTCTCTCTTCATTTAATCACAAATTGGCAGAAAGAGACGAGCTCAGACTGATTTAGGTATTTTTATTTAAGCTTATTATAAACCAACCTTTAGTAGCAGGCAGTGTAGTAGGTCTCTGTGGCGTGGTCCTATTGGGGACAGGTTTTCTGGGTGATGGCGGTGGCGCCAGAGACGTACGCGGACGCACGGCCACTGGCGACGACGACAATTTCTGTACCACACCATTCTTTTTGGCTGGAAAAAGGAACATAAATTTTAGAGATTTTCATATAATAACCGGCCGCCCGAAGCTCACTCACTCATTACGTGTATTTTTGCTATAATTTTTCCGACAATTATCTTTTCAACTATTATTTATAAATTTTCGTACAACCATGTACACCCGTTTGGTCGATTTTAAGTCACGGGATTATCACGTTCATACAGACAAACATATGCGACAGAGTGACTTCATTTTATATTATATTATGTAATGATTTTATGACTTGCATATACTCGTAGCTAGCAAATTACGAAAGGTTGAATAATGATTGGAGTATTTATTTTTTCTTTTATAATATAGGAACGTTTCAAAAGTTAATTTGACAATTGACTATGTTAACATTGATTGTCAATTGTTTTTTATTTAAGTTAAAAGCTGTATTTTATTTACGAAGCAATTATTTTCAAAATATAATATTGTATGATCCTATTTCTGTATGGCTCTATTAAACTCATTAAGTTTGCTACTATCAAAGACAATTTAAGTTACATACAGCGGCGCCATAGGACTTTCTTTCGTAAGATGTTATGAAACAAAAAACAGTCGCAAACAGCCACAGGCAAAACACATAAGATAATGTTAAGAGTAGACTTAATTATGACGAAAGTAGATTCCTTACTGAGATAAAAATTATGTTACTCTTTAAACTTTGAATTTGTCTACAGTGATTGTATTATTTTTGTTTTATTACGAATACCAAGAAAACTATAACCCTAATATTAGGACAGTAATGATTCCAAGCAACCACAGTAAGGTAATAAAAAAGAGCAAAGAAATAAAGAGAAATAAAGACTTTAATAAAGGTATAAACGAACGCAATATTTTAAATGTATACAATATGAGTATAGAGATTAGGTGTCTTTATTACTTCTGTTAGCTTTTAATATTGATTTCATTAGTTTAAAATTTAATTAAATATATAAACATATTTTTAACAATAAACGCGCATATAGCTCCTAATTTGTTTCATTCTGTTGTTTACGATTAGGGAATAGAATATAAAAGAAGCTGTGACGCACGGGCATTCTTCTTCGTTTAACTTTGAAGTGTTCAGTTTATGTAAAGTCAGTGAAGTGAAATAAGTGAATTATAGCGAATCAAGTAATTAATGGAGTTATTTTCCTACCCTTGATCTAGTATTTATTACTTGCATATACCACGTATAAAATGTAACAAGTCTTGCTTGGGCGTGTCAACGTTAAGCAAGGGTTGTATTCCTTGTTCTTCCCCTCACCACTGGTATTTAATATATTACAATGCACCGAATTACCTTGAGTTGGCGGCGGCTGCGGGGTGGAGGCAGTCGGCGTCCGGTTTGCCGGGGTTGTAGGCTCCCTCTTTTTCCCATTTCCTGGAACAGGATACATTAAAATGTAATTTAAAGTATTAAGACAAAACTAACTAGATTACGAAAACAGTACTTTTCTTTGTAAATTTTTCCGAACTAGTTTGATCTAAAGAGGCCTAGACTGGTTTTATTTTTAAAACATTATTTAATGTAGGTTACGATGTCCTGTCTTTTGAATTTTGAAATCGGTTATAAATTTATAAACGCCTTTTGTTTAATTTCAAATTCTAGCTCCTTGTTTTCATATGCTGTAAACCAACAATACAATTCGTGAGAACTCAAGTATAGAAGACAATAGACTATACTACATTAATTATTTTTATTTTATAAAAATAATTTATTTACTTTTTTAAACATTTAATTTATTCTTTATTGAGAGATAGTATTACCCTCTTATACTAGTATTATTTATACGTCGATTACTACATATTAAAATTAATAGGGCCCTTAAAAACTACGTCTTTTAGTGGTAATTAAATACTTGTTGAGAAATTACTGTATGTAATTAGTAAATAGCTTTAAGCGAAGAATAATTTTTAATGACCTGATTTAACTACCAATGACTATATTTGTTAATTACATTCTCAGACACATATGTCTTTATATGGAGAATTATGCAATACCAGTATCCTTTGTCGTTATGTAAAGCTACGTAATTCTATATTTTAATTCAGCACCGACTTTGGGCTATATCGGAATAGGGTTTACTTCCTTACGAAGTCATTTGTTGTTTAGGGAGGGAATCATTGAAATGTATTTCACAGTAATTAATAATGTAAAAACAGTAATAATAACGCTTCTAAAAACATGCGCGTACTTTCCTTTACTTCACAATCAATAAACGGAGAACTAATTGACTATCTGTTCAATATTTTCAGTTAATAAAACAGAGCATTACAAAACCTACTTACTTCGATGTTTAAGAAACAGCCGTCGTGGGAACTCGCTAAACAATGCAATCAGACAAAATCGTGCGTGGAAAAATATACATAGACTGTTGAAGTTCATTTTATTTCTAGAAAGTGACTGCATATTTTAGTTTATAGGATCATTGGACACGTGAAAAGATTAACTATTTAAAAGGCTTCCGTTCATAACTTAATGCACATTGCATGCGTCGCGTTTATTTTAACGTTATCGTCATTTTACTTTTAATGGCCCGGTGATGCAAATGCGATATTTATGGCTGTATACATACCTTCTAAATGTAAACATGTTTTTGTATATTTAAACATGCGAATTTAATAAACATGTTTTATTCAGACAAAACAAAACAATTTTTTTACAATTTAAATAAAAAATTTAAACAGAAACTCTAGGAGAATAATATTAGACAATTCAATATTTATTGAGAATTTTTATACAGAAAGATTAAATATAACCCGTAAAATATGTTTGTAAGTAAGAAACTCACCTCTGGTACCGAAAGAGCCGAATCTCTCACGGTTCACGGATATCTTATATTTCTTATCATTAGGAACAGGTAATTTGGACGGATGTTTTTCTGAGTTGCTTCTATAGAGCTTCTCTTTGGACCCGTGTGCCCCCATCTTCAGAAACTTGAAGAACTTCATTAAGTCAGCACATATTAACCTCAATACAAACTATTAGGAACTTCGTTTAGTTTTAAGCACTGGGTACTTCAGATTCGTCACTGTCACATTATCAAACACGTCTGTGCTTCCTGCATTAAGTACAATGAGTAAGTGTCATAATTATCATAGAAGGTAATACAAATGAGTGTGATAAGGGTCTAATGTAATGACATAGAGAGAGAGAGAATTTGGGCTGCTTTGAAATTCAAAACATTCTTGAAGACTGTCAATTGTTTAGCGCAAAACATTGTTTGCAAGAGCAGTGTATTTATAATATATTTTAAGCAGATGCCAGTAAATAAACTATCAAACAGTTAAAAGCATACGACATTAGGCACACGTGGTAAAACGCGATCAAGAAAGCGACGTCGCTGATATTATTGTGGCTTTAATCTATTTCTGTAGCCGACTCACTGCATCGACCAGGATAAATAGAACCTCTCCTTATATCACGTTTCTATTCACAAACAACAACTATCGGCGTTACAGTTCGTATTCAGGAGCTCAAGAATAAATGGTTTCTAAGCGCATTAAGCGTTAAAAAGGTCTTCTAAGAACTTGTTACTCGCAGCCTATTTTGTATCCGAATAAAACTCTTTATTTAAATGTTGACTATGAAGTTTATACACTGACTACAGCAAGCACTTAAACTCACCTATTTAAGAGAGAAACATAAAATGATTTAGAAATCATACAACTTTATAGAAAACGTATCATTCACAAAAAGAAAGTTGTAAGCTGTTAGACGAGTCAATACATAATATTAAATATTAATGATAACGTCGAAGTAAATACTTGATATATCGTTTTTCACATTAATTAACGTATTTGCGTGTAATAGCAAAGATTTATATATACATTAGACATTGAACTTAACAATGTTCTTTACTTAGCACAACCGTGTCACCAGTTGGATAGTTATTTTAGCTATGCTTCAGGGTTAAATAACTTAGGATGGCTCGTGTCCTTTCCAGCGATATTTCAGACACTCTGATGCGAGCTACACGCTGTTTATTTAGTCTTGTTACTTGTAACATATAAAGCGTATTGGGGACACTTGTGCCATTCTCAATAGCTTTAAATCTTACGAATAAATTAAGATTATTATAATTGATAATTAAAAAAATCTAAATCTGTTATTTCACATTATGTAATGATAATTTGTAACGATGTTTAATAATAAATAGGATGGTAATAATTGATGACCAAGAAACTTATCTGGGTTTTTCAATAACTTATTTGGAGATAGAAAAAGATTGCTAAATGTAATTCTTCACAATATGTCAATATCATAGCGAGTAATAGACAGATAATAAATATTACAGTTATACATTAATTTAAAAAATGAAAACTAAAAAACTAGGTTCCTAATGGCTTTATAAATCATAAGTATAAAGTCATAAACGATATTTATACTATAAAACAACTAGAATGTAATCTCTAAGAAGTTATTACCGAAGATATTTACAAATTATCTAAATTTTACAGTTTTTTTACATACAGTGGTATTCAAAAACTAAACAAAAATAGATGAACCAACTATGTCTTGTAATGAAGACAAATTTCCAGGCGACTGCGTTAAATATGTAAAGGATGCTTAAATTGCGCGTGAGTTGGGCGTGGTAATATCACACTGCCAAATTCAGCTACAGCTGCAAACCACGAAATAGGACAGATTGAACATAAACCATTCCAATTGTGCAACAATTCGTAACACAGGTTTAAGGAATTATTTTCAGATAATAGCAAAATGCATATTGTGTGTTAATGTCTAGACAAAAAATTATGCGCGGGCGTCTTGAACTTTAAGTTATGAAATTTAAGCAAGTAGGTTAAATTTCTGTCTTTCAATTTAAATGAGTGTGCAATATATTCTTTTAAATCCAAATTAATGATCCATTTATTATTCGCTGAGCTCATTAATAATTACATTAAACGTATAGTATTATATAAATAACCTCGTTCCCAAATAAGTAGTTTAAAAAATCTAGATTTAGATGTCTTTAGTTCACTTTAAGTTGCCGTTGCTTATTTTCTGGATTATAAACAATTTGATAACAATCTTGCGGTAATTAAATTAATAAAAACACTTGAAGCATTTTTATATCAAAGCAGACGTTTTAAGTAAATATAATTAATGTATGAGAACAAAATTCACAAAAAGTCACAATACAATAATATATTCTAAGCACATTGATAGGTCAAAAGCCTCAACTTCTACACACTGTGTTCACGATCAGCGCGGAACTAAGTAAAGAGATATTGTGGTCGCTCCCCACCTACTAATTTATTAAGATTATGCATAGTGAGCATGCTGCAGTCACGATACATCGGTTCCTCACTTCCTTATGGTTAAATAGTTTTTTCTGTCGTATTGGTAATAATGCGAATAGAAGTAATTAAATGAATAATTCGATATTTTATGTTTACTTAGCTAGCTATTACATGTGTTTCTAGTGCACATTTGGTTTCCTTTCAATATCGTAAACAAAGTAACTTAGCACTGTAGCACATTTGAAATGTAATTCACTAATAATGTAGTAGTATCAATACTGTAAGACTATGTACAAATGTATAACCTACTTAGCTAGCTATATGTACTAAGTAAAAATTAAATTAATTTGCTACAGTGTTCGCTGTATTTAATTAATTCTACCGTTTTTATCAATATTTTTAGAGAACATTTACAAAAATTTACGAGCACCATATAAAAGTAAAGTTGAATTTTTTGTAGTCTAGAATTGTAAAATATAAAATTACGAGTACATCATTAAACTTCGTACGAATAATACCTATCATGTATTTTAATTAAATAAATGAAAAACAACTCTTGAAGGTCCCCTAGTTACAGCGGATGTTCAATTACATACCAATATAAGCATAACTAGATTTTAAGTTCATATAAGTTTCCTAACTAAATTTGCACTGGGTTTTTCCAACACTTCTGACATGACTGGGGGACAGTGAGGGTGACCCTATCATACAGTATATTTAAATAATGTATGACTCAATGTGTTGCTAAGTGCAAACCTCGTGCTTTGAATTTTCCCTATTCATAAAGATAAACACATAGGTGAGGTCTAATTGTATTTGAGAATAATTGAAAGATAACAAAAACAATAATTATAAGTACAACTGGGGCTAATCATGTGATTATCAACATTAAGGTAGTACATTCGAAATATCTGGACTCCAATTAATTTTTCTGTCCGCATTTGGCATTTGCTCGCAAAGTAACGAAACACAGGAAACCCTGTTTTAGACCGAAACATGACATAGGCACAGAACACTAATTTTATTTTTTATCTATGTTTTGTCTATTAATACAAATTTAATGCTTTGTTCTGTGGAAAATTTGTTGTGCACATAAAGATGTATGCAGAAGTTTAAGACAGAATTTATAACAGTTGTGAAGCAATGGGTTTTGAAGATCGAAAATCAATTTTTACGGGTGGTCGTTTCGTAACTTGCTTTTAAACAAATTCGCTAGTTCAACATATTACAATATATCCAAGACATTTTCATTATGCCATTGTTTTTGGTCAAAACTAGTCACGGCCATCACACATCGTTGTGCAAAGACACACCTTGTTCATAAAGTTTAGCGAGGTAAGACACGTCTTCGCAATACGTTTGCAATTATTATTTACAATGACTTGTGTTCATCGACTAAAATAGCATTTACTTAGCAAATACTTGACGAATTAGCTGCTAGTGTTTTTGTATCTAATATTGGGTATTTATACTTTACGTAAGAATAGGGAAAATATTTGGTTTGTTTAAAATATCGTAAATAATTTAACTTAGCACTTTTAAAATGTACAAACCTAAAAATATTATAATCGCATATTGAATATCTAATATATAAAATTCTAGTGTCACAATGTTCGTTCCCATACTCCGGATAAACGGATCGACCGATTCTTATTAAATTTTTATGCATATTCAGTAAGTCTGAGAATCGGCTACTATCTATCTTTCAAACTCCTAAGTGATAAGGGGTGTCCACACCAAAAATTTAGTTTTTATTTTTTAGAAATTTTTTTTGTTATTATTTTTTTTATCATACAGCATACAAAAATACATACAACCCCTAATTTTCACCCCTCTACGATCAACCCCTATTTTTATTACAAGCAATAGTAAGTTTCCTAGAAATAATATCTATACATGGCATAATGTTTGCCGGATCAGCTAGTAGAAAATGTAAATAAGGGTGTACTTTCTTTGGAATTTTCATATGGTTACGGCATTTTATGAACAAAGCAAAATATCAAGATATATTTGATCAAAACAATGACTTAATTGCCATTCATAAATATTTATATGCAGATCTCAATAGCAAATTTTCCACAAAACAAAGCATTGTATTAATAGACAGAACATAGACGAAAAGATAAATTTACCAAAGATAACATGTTCGTATGAATTTCAGAGTGCCGAAGACTCACCCATATAACATTAAACAGCACAATGGGTCCGGATGTGGTGTGTTCGGGAATACAAATAACACTATTGTGATACGCTGAACATTGGATCTCGGTCTTAATAATCGGAGTAGCCCAGTATTCAGATTTTATGGTTAATAGGACAGAAAGCCCATTCAAGCGAATCGATATGAGATACTCAAATGAGATTCACTTCTAGTTCTAGGTCATCGGGCAGGAATAATGTTTATTTAATTTATTTGTAAACCGTTAATTGTACATATGATTTCTTTACAGAGATAGGGTTAATTATTGGAATTAAAGTACTGGTGTCAATTGGAAGGTACATGTATATAATTCACGGCACTTTATTATAAGTGTATGTTAAACCTGTGTAATTGTTAAACCTATTTTTAAATTTGAAAAAGAATTCGATGCTCAGTTTTACAGCAGTAATGTGTTTTCGATAAAGCCCATCTTCCGAACTTTGAAAGGAACCGAAAATTGAAGCACGTTTTGCCGCCTTTG